TATCTTTTCCTACTGAAGATGTAAATGCCTAAATCTCATACCAACCCAAACTCAAGTTTCCTGGGTTAACCAAGTTCAGTTATCTAATAAATGCTTCTCTCTCTCTCTCTCTCTATGAATTACATTCTTCAACTGTAAAATGTGAATGGCTAAAGCACAAAGCAGCTTAAGTTTGATGGTTTTGCCAAGCTCATTTGTCCACTAAATCAATCAATCAATCAATCTCTCTCTCTCTCTCTCTCTCTCTCTCTCTCTCTCTCTCTCTCTCTCTCTCACATACACAATTAGGAGAAAAATATGACAATTCTCGTCCTGAATCAGCAAGGTTAGATGTTTGAAATCTTCCTCATTCTCCTTGGATCAGGGAGGATCGAGGAACCTTCAAATCAAAGTTCCCCTAGTGATGATGGAATTGGGTGCATGTGTCTGCACCTTTTCAAGTCATTCTTTAGTGTTTACTAGCGGTGCACACTGGTTTCTCTCTTTTCGGATTTGAAGGCATCCATCCTCAAAGCACATTGAGTAACTTCTCATTTCTTTGTAAACTGGAACATACCAAATTATGAGGGAAAATAGAATTGAATTGAAACAGTTCAGATCCATCTGATTTGTTTTTTATTTCAGTCTCATGTTTCAGTTCATTTACTACGACATCAATACTCAAAAGGCAAAGACAAACAAAGGCCATGGAGATTTCTACTCTATAAATGGTGCATACAAGATTTACTTATGTCTCATATAATTTTAAGATTTACTTATGCATACAACATTAATAAGAGAACAAATCATTTTAATATCTAAATACAATGGTGCATACAAGATTTACTTATGTCTCATATACAATCACCAAAGCATCATAAAGACAAATTTTTTCAACATATATTCAATATATTATAAAACCCATGAAGCTCATAGAGCAAAATCAAAATTCCACAAGGATAATTTTTAGGTGAAATTCTGATAGAAAATCCATTATTTCCTATGTAAAGTAATACACAAACACACATGGCATAGATATGTGGGGATCTAACACTTAACTCCCTTTCTAGAGATGAGTAATACTAATTAGCTAAGCTATGCATCTAAGCTATACTGAGATCAAGATAAAATAGTTCAAAACTATATTCAAAATGTTTTATGCCACAAGATAATGCAAGCCCTTTTTTGTTATGGCATAACAAAAACATAAAAAGACCTAAACTTGCATGAATTTTAGTTTCTAACTCTTTGATATTGTAGATCTTGTTTGTTTCTCATGGATAGGATTAGGGTCTTAATTCAAACTACATATTATTTTCCTTTTGATAATTAATGCAACTCATATACTTGTTAAATACATCTCACATTGTAACTACATCCCCATTCTTTGTCAAACATGAAATCAAATAAGAAGTTCTTTATGTTCCAATTTTCCAAATAAAAAAAAAGGGGGAGAGTTTAAGAGTAGAAAAGACAATGCTGCACTCACATGCCTGCACTGTTTCTCACATTCCCTGTCCATCCCCAAGAACTTTGTCTGCAAGTCTTCTACAAATCATGGACTCATTATTTCATGTGCAGAAGTCAAAGAAGAAGAATCCAAAACCTATTCCAGGTGGTGTTTTTTAACCCCATTCTTATTGTTCTTATACCTTTCTCTCAAAGTTACAACATAGATTGGGAGGAGCACCCAAAGGTTCATCATAAGACAATTCCAGTGGAAACTTAGTAGAACTACAAGCTTAAATCTACTTCACACATACTATTATGTTCCTACCACTTTGCATGTGTCATGCAAAAGCAATCACTTGAAGCTGGTGTAGTCCTTACCAGCCTCACAAAGAGGATTCCACCACTCCCATAGCTTCTCTGAGATCATGGGCAAAGACATGGGCAGCTGGTTGAGCTGGGGCTGTGGAGGCATCGGGAGGAGTTGATTTGGCTGCTGCTCCATGAAGCTTTGGGTGTAACCTACGAACCTGTTGAGCTCCTCGATCCCAGGCGCGGAGACGGAGGAATTGGCGGAAGCGAGAAGGGAGCATGCGGGGATCAGAGCGATGCTAGTGTTCTTGGCATGGTGAAGCGAAGTGCTGTCTTCTTCCATCGATGTGGTCGAGCTCAGAGAAGGCATCGACGCCGTCGAGCCATACACAGTAGAGAGAATGGGGGACGCCAAGTTGTGGGTCGTGCTCGCACCCTGCACTTTTGGCACCTTCTCCATGGCTGATGTCAGTGAAGATCCAACTCCGGAGGCTTCGAAGCCTGGCGGTTGCCGGCGGGGGGTGTGTCTTTTGTCGATTCCGGTTCCGCGAGAGGACGATGGCTTGGAAGCAAGTGTTGCAGGGATTTGGCAGTGATCTTCTACTCCAACTCGTTTGTGCACTCGACAGAGTGAGATCTCAGTCTGCACAAGTGGATTGAAGTTTTCTTCTTCTCGTTAGGTATCAAGAAAAGAAGAAATCTGAAGAAGAGAGGCTCATTCTCTGAAGAGAAAGCTCCCAAAGTAATCACAGCAAATAGGATTCGAAAACCTAATAGCAAGAGAAGGGATTGCTGATTTTGATTTTTTTATTCTCCTTCTGGAAATGAACTTTTAATTCAGAGAAAGTGAAGATCGACATTACAAAAACAAAGATAATATGAGAAATAATCAAGTATTACGTATAGCACAATTCAGAGAGTATGAAGGAAGACAATTGAGGCATGATGAATTAGCTCAACAAGTGCATGAAAACAAAGAAACCCCATTTTACTTCTTGTTTTTCTCTCTCTTATCCTATTTTCAAGAGAGAAAAAATGAAATCTTTAAAAGAAGAAAGAAGAAAGAAAGAAGAAATCGAGAATTTAAGAGGAGGAAAAAAAAGAATGATGATAATTAGCTTGAGGAATATTTACCTCAAAAAGGCCTTTGTTCTTTAGGGTTTTCTTCATTCTCTTTCTTGATTGTTGGATGGGGTGAGGGGGAGGGGAAGGAATACAAAGAAGCAAATCGAGACAGAGGCAAAAAGTAACAGTCATTTTAAGCAGATAAATGGTTGCTAAAATTCCATGCAAAAAAAAAATTGTTATTCACTGACAATGTCAACATGAAACTCTCACGAGCAGTAGAGATCAGCACCAGTCCTTTTGGGAGATGAAAGCGTGCTCGAATTAGAATCACAGGAAAGTTCCACAGATAACCTCTTTGTTAGGGTTTCTCATGCCTAATCTGCAGACCCAGATCTAACCACACGGTTCTGATGATGACAAAGGAGAGGGAGTTCCTCGAGATTACCTTTTGGTGTTGGTCGGTCTCGCTGTGTGGCAGGCGGTACTCGTTCATGATCCAGCTGGTTCTGATGCCTTTAGGAGCCTTCCCGGAGTAGAAGACGAGGGTCTTCTTCAACCCGATGGATCGGTGGTTCTCCGCTTTGATCATCCGGTCGGCGCCCGTCGCCTTCCAGTATCCCGACGTGGTCACGCGGTTGGGTCGATCCCCGTTCCGATACTTGCGATCTCTCGGAACGTAGAAGTACCACTCCTTCTCTCCGATCGTCGCGAATTCTGTAAGGAAGAGAATCAAACCACGACCAAACGGGGAGGGGAGGGGAGGGGAGGGGAGGAAAGAGAGATGGAGCGGCGGCGGCGGTAGCCAAACCGGGAAGCTCCCATGGGTCGTAGCGGTAGAGATCGAGGAAGGTTATGAGCTCCACGTTGAACCGCTTCCCCTCGACCTTGCGGCGGAGGTAGAACTCGATCAGCTCCTCCTCGGTGGGATGGAAGCGGAACCCGGGCATCACCAGGTCATGCTCGTGCCCGTCGCTGCCGTCGTCCCCGCTCATGGCTGCTGCAATTGCCATGAACAGATGCAGTCGCGGGTCATCAAACCCCTTCACCTCTCAGCTCAATCCTTTTGTAAGTACTCGATCGCCAACAAGTACGCCTCGTTCTGATCCGACCGGTAATCGGATGAATCTCACTGACTGCCAGATAAATTGTCATGGACACTGTTAACTCTTCAGATTCGTCAGTTCTATCTCTCTCTCTCTCTCTCTCTCTCTCTCTCTTCCGTAGCTTGGGGAGGACCCTACACGGAAAAGGAGGTGCATATGGGAGTAAATGAGAGGAAAGAGACCGCTGAAGAAGAGGACAGCAGCTCTCCACAGCCAGACCTTTTTCTTCCTTCCTCTTCAACTTCATCTCGGTTTCCTCAGCTCTCAAAGATTCTGTACACTCGGCACCCAAGTCTTTCTTTCTCTTTCACCTACATGCATGCATGCATGCCTGCAAAGACCATGGGAGATCTCAAGGATCGCTTTTAGGATCCGCTTTGGCAAGTTGCTCGAGTTGCTGTCAGGGGAGGGCTGAGACGAGGGAGAGGAATTCTACTGTGGAGTTTAGGTGTGTGAGGTAATGAGATCAAGTGAAGACCGTGACAACCTTTTACCGCCAGGCATCCGACCAACTTGTGGTGGTACACACTGCACACCTTTTAACTGCGTAATCTTCCCACTGTTGCGAGGTTCTATCATCACAAATGATTTGTGGGATGTTAATGTGGAGTTGGGAACGATTGTTGCAGGAAGTATGAGAAAAATGAAGTCATCTGCCTTCAAATCACAACAAGTTTCGATGAGTGGCGTGTGATTAATGATTAGCAGTTTCCCTTTAGATTGAGATGAAAATTTGGATTGTGAGTATTAGTCAGCTATATATAGAAAAATTATATTAAAATATTGAAATAGATATATGGAGTTACCGAGAAAGATAGAAAGAACATTTTTTATCCCTAAATCATTAGACGTAGTCTCGATAGATATAATAATTACTACTAGTAATCAACGAGAGATAGAAGAAAACCCAAGAAATTATCGTAACAAAGTGTTGGGATCAAAGAGGCGCAACAATTTGTGAGTAAAGACGAAACAAAACACAGAGAAATTAGGCACTCACAACTTAACAAATTTAGGTTTTTAGATTACATATTATTTACTTTGTAGCTTAACTTGACAACTTTTTTTTTTTTTATATCAACATTGTTAATTCTTTTCCAATACTATTAGAAGAATTATTAGTTTAATAATTAGGGGAGAATTATTCTTCGATGACATGGATTAGAAATTGGCCTCGCATTTCGAGTGATAACTTAATATTTTTGAATTGCTTCGATATCGAATAATCATGTATAATAATGGTGATCAGTTTAATTCAAAGGTGATGTCAAACTATTTGACCATGTATGGTATAGTTGACTTAGACCCATGCAATTCAAATAGTTCAACTTATAGTTGACTTACACCCTTCTTTCTTCACCACTCGACCACCTATTATTCTTTGTTCCTTCTCAAATACCAAGATGACGTTTGTATGAGAAAAGATGAGAAACTCCAAAAGCATAATGTGGTGGTACACTGTCAAGTCAACCCTCTTAAACTTTGTTTCATGTGAACCTCCATGATCTTTGCCATCCTATCTCTCTTTTGATTGGCCATACTTCAAAACTTCATCGTATTGTGATCCTAAGATTTCAAGCAACAAATGTTGTCCCAAGAACATATGCAACTATATCACCCAAGGCAGAAAAACCTATATATCTCTATTAATGCAAGATTTGGCTGCCTGTTCTGTATGGCGAAGCCGACTAAGGACCTTTTATACATTATATCTCGAGAAATAAAATATATATTTTACATAAAATTAGCAAAAAACTTTGTTATATCTCGAGAGCTCCCATTTATAAGGAGAAGAGTCGATCGTGTGTAATTTGGATAGATGTCACTTAAATCGAATCCATTCCTAAAACTTTAAGAGATCGTGACGTTATGAATTCGATAGTACGATCGATATTACAAATGTTAATCAAGTACTCGACATGTTTATCGTTTACGTGTTTTCATTTTAGGCAAATTGATCCCCCTATAAGCTCCACTATTTCATCATGTTCTACATGCTGGATGAACAATCAATATAATGTCCATATTTGTTCTTTAAGTCTTAGATTAACATTTTATCATCGATTCGCCCATTTAAAATTTTTGTATATGAATGAAAACACTGTAACAATGTTCCAAAACATCTTAAATAATTTGTATTTGTGATTGTTAACTTGATATTGCATGGAATAAATAAATGACAAGTATATGAAAAATGAATAAACTACATATTAGTCCTATGTTACTAAAGTCACTAAAGACTCCAAAAGTAGGTAACATATATTTAAGTTTAGCATGTAATACTAAAATAATCAAGTATTTCTATAATATTTAAGTTTAACATAGATTAACCATTTCTTGTAGAAATAATCTCAAGTACGAGCGTTATTTTTTTATTATAAATCATGATCTTAAAATTGTTAATGAAAGATAAATGACGAAGACGAGATTCAAACCTAATATCTTATCATAAAAAATGTCTTGATAGATGCAAGATAAAATTCTACAACACAGTGGCATGTTACTCTCAAGTTGATTCTTCCAAAACTCGTGAGGTATGGAAGACCATGAAAGCTTTGTGTAATGCATGCATGTCGGCTGTGGTGGTCCTCAGACCTCATGCAAACAATCTCATCAATAATACTTGAAGAAACGGAAAGAAGCACCAACAACAACAGCACGAGACAAATGAGAGAAGAAGGAGATCATACCAACAAGGAAGAATTGGATCATACCAACTAGCGAGTCTTAAGCGTCAACATGAAGACCTAATTCATCGTTCGCAATTAATATACCGAGAAGGACCATATCATGAATTCTCAGTAGAGGTCGTAAGCAAAATCATGTTGATTTCCATTAGAGCTCATCTCGTGCATTGACTTGTGTCTGTGCATGAGTCCCTCGAGCTGCACCAAAAGCAAAGTGGGTCTCGATGCATTGTTGAGTAGAAGAAGCCAATTTAGTGACGTCGGTGACTTCGGCGCGTGCATGGTATCAGCATCAGAGATGTCAGTGGGGAGGGGGAGGAGATGTAGAAGCGTGCACGATTGCCATGGGAGATTAGCTAGGGTTTCACAGGTCGCCATTATTGACTGCTGTAGAGATACATGCTATGGTCCCCCCCGCCGAGGCTCATCTCTTTCTCTCTCTCTCTCTGACAACAATGTTATCAGAGAGAGAGAGAGAGAGAGAGAGAGAGAGAGAGAGAGAGAGTAGTAGTTAGTTAGTAGTA